AACCTAAAAGCCCAGTCCTGCCGATGCAGCTGTCAGCGTCCTGATAAACGGGGGTGTGTTTTGAAGCCAGGCCAGAGAATGTTTTTCTTCTTCTCCCTGACAGCAGCGATCCAGACACGTTCAGCCCGAGGAGGGAGTGAATCCCAGGAGCTGCTCTATTGGCTTGTACCTCCACTCATCTGCCTCCAGCTCTTCCACCAGACCGGCTAGTTTTTCCATCCGTGCGACTTGTTGATCTGCGAGAAGTTCAAAGGTAACTGCGGTTTGCAATGACAGCGCAATTAAACCTTTCAATTAGATGCAAATTCCCAGCTGTCAGTGGGGAACAGCGTGGAATAAAACCCACCCAGCCGATCCGAACGCGAACCCACTCTACGCGACGCCCTGTGCGGACGGCGAGACCTCGCCAGATCACAGGAGAAGGCAGGGACAGGCTTTCCTGCCTCCTGTTTATACCCATCCCTGCCCGTGCCGTGTAAATTCAAGTCCTAACAGGGAAACACAAGGCCAATTAGCGTACGGGGGTGAAAACGGGATGAAGGTCGTTTCTTTAGCGTAAATATTTATCGCGCAGAAGAACAGGGAAGTTCAGAGGGAGCTTGGTCAGCCCACGGTGGAGCCAGGCACAGTGCAAAGAACTCCTCATTCTAATGAAGGTCCTTGGAGGAGGACCTGGGCGACCGCAGCAGAAAGGCTCTGCGATCAGAGCGTGCTGACGACACCCAGGTCCGCCAACAGAGACGAGCTGCCCGCCTGGGGATCCCCAGGACAGCTCGTTCCTCTCAGCTTTATTTAAAATCAGTCATGCACGGGGCACGCAGGCTCCGTTTTCAAGAGAGATGGGAACAGCCCTCCTTCTCTTGGCTCTGCTCAAAGTTTAACAGCGCAGAGGCCTCTTGGAAAAGCGGCCCGGCACGAACCGACTTAGGTAGCGAGAGGCGTAACACAAAACGCGCGCCATTTATGCTGGCTGCAGCAGTGGGTGCTTTTAAGAGGGACTGTTGTCACTCCACCTCCTGCAACCCAGTGCTTTTGGGAGCTGTCGAACAAACTAGCAAAAAAATGATGACCTCAATCTTTTTTTTAAGCCTTTCCCTTTTCTTACAGAGAGGCAACCGGTGCTCCACAAACCAGTTTCAAAGGCTGGTGCTGATCAGGGTGCCAGTCTGCGCAGCAGCCCCTGGGAGCTACAGCCTCAGCAGCAGGGAGCTGTACAAGCGATGGCTCTGAAGTTCAGCTTGGCTTTTCGGTTCAGGAATACAGGATCACAGCCCTGCAAGCTGCCGCACGCCCCCAGACCTCCTCCTGGCAACCCTCGCCGGCGGAGGACAGGAAACCTCCACGGTCTGAGACAACACGTGGAAGTACCCATTCTAGCTGACGAGAGGTGGGGACCAGAAAGGATGTAACCCTTGAGCGGCAGACACGGTCTGCTGCTGAGCTCTGCCCAACGTCTTGGGAACGCAAGCCGCCGCGCAGTCAAGCCCATCGTTCAGTTCCAGGCACCTGGGCGGCAGGTGAAGGCCCCAGGAGGGAAGCCGAAGTTCAAACAAGACTTGTTTCTTGGGGAGGTACGGAGCGGAGTCAGCCCCATCACACCACATCAGGCACCTGCACGTCCGTTCCCCGAGCACCTCTGGAAACCTCGCTTGACCCTGCCGGTGTCACCAGGGCTCGGCAGAGAAATGAAGGTGGAATCCAGTGCCTCTTTGCCCGAGGCCGAAGAGACAGTCAGCGCTGGGCCAAGATCAGAGCGTGGGCGTTTCCTGCCCATAACCTCCTCTTCTGGCCTCACCTCTCGCGAAGGCAGCGCGGCACACAGCGATGGAAAAACAAGCTTCGGAAGGCACGGCCTGTTCCCACCCAGGCTGTGTGGGTTCCCTTCGCTTTGCATCGGGCTTGCAAAAGGACTCGACGATGGTCTGACTTAGCATTAATTCGCCAACTTGAAAGGCTATCCTGCTTTTTTGTGGTCGGCACCCGAGAACATGTCAGCCTTTTCTCCGCGCTCCCCTGCCAGCCTTCCCGACCAGCACGCAGCTAAAAGAGACGGCGCTTCGGTGCTTACCGTGTTTCACTTGCTTTAACGTCGACGCAACCTGGTAGCTGAAGACAGACTCGCAGAGGAATCTTTCGGAGCCATCTGCAAACAGAAACAGAGAGGTGGTTTCATCTCAGAGTTTTAAGACTGAGCAGCCTTAACCGAGCGCCTTCTATTTTTACGTTCAAGGTATGGGTTTCCCCACTTGCCTCATTCCGACACTTTCACCCGTGCCGAGCGCGCAGCACTCCAGTTTCTTTGACCGGCCCTACGGTCAAATCCTGTGCGGGCCTTGGCTGGCTCCCAGTGCCACCGGGGAACGGCTGTTCCACCTGGGAGATGTCCCAGCTGGTATTCTGTTACGTCCCCTCTGTCAAGCAGTTCTAGTCCATTTTAAATAGAAGGTAAGCTAAGGAGACGCCAGCTAGTATTACAGCAGTCTCCGATTCCCTCGGAGCTCAGATGCTTGTGTCCTTAGGATGCTTTGTGACTTCCCACCGGCTTAGACCATAACCCTGCATTAAAGGACGTCAAATAACGTGGATCTTGCCATCTAAGTCAGTAATTGATCACACAATTGTCTTAGAAATAAAGCAATCTGGAATACAGAGCTCACTGTATGCCAAGTACCGACACATTTCACTACTTCCTTCTAAAAAAGGCCCCCAAAACCTAAGTGTTTGTTTAAAAACAAGCGAGGGAGTTAAAGCAACAATAAAAATCAGTCAGTTAGTGGGGATTTTGGAAGGGGAAACTGCTACCCCACTACTACCTGCCTGACGAAAGAACGGGTGTATCACCTTTTCTCTCAGAAATTAAGAAGTTAACTTAAAGCTTCCTGCAACAGGGTGAGTGTTCAGTTGTTGCTGCCACCCAGAGCAGACGAACTGCCGGGTTACTGGTAAACAGGTCAGCCCAAAGGAAAATGAAGTACAAGCTCTGTGCCGTAAAAACGAGGAAGAGAAGCAATTCCAAAGACTAAGGGTAGTAACAGGGCCCTGGAAAATCTAATCTGAAGCTGAGCCCCAGGTGAGAGGGAAGAGTCGGAGTTTTGCCATGCTCAGAGCATCCTCTGGCAAGCTCCTGAAATGCTGTGGTGGTGCTGCACCATGCTATTCCAAACATGCCCTTCCCTCTCCTCCGACTCCCCAGCCCGGCCGTCCTGCCCGAGTGGCTGTTGGAAAGACCAGCTGCCTGTCTATTTGGTAACATGAAGTGCTTCATTATTTTAATTTGTTTTGAGGGCTCGTTAAGCTCTATGAGCAAGCCTTTAGTCATAATTACTTCAATAGACTGGCATATGGGCTCTAATGTGTAATAAAAACAGTCCTTAAACGATGCAGCCATCAGTTCCCAGCTGCCCTGCGCTGCCGTGTTCGTCCCCACCGGAACGCGGTCGCTTGTGAGCCGCAGGGCCACCCCACGGAACTTCAGGCTCACGCAGTCAAGTGGGTGGCGTGGTGACACGGGAAGTTCAAGAGGAGCAGACAGACAGACTGACCTTGGCTTAACCCTGTCATCCGGAGGACCTGCCCTTCCTCCCTCACCCAGAGGAGGGGCAGGGACGTGCAGCTGCAGTGTGCCTGGGTCCTCCTTCAGGCACCCCTGACGAAGCGGGCAGCAGGGCTCGGGCACCCAAAAGCAAGATGCCGTGCTGGATCAGAGCCCTGACGTTTTCCAGGTGGCCCTGGACAAAAGTGAGCCCATAAGGGGAACGTGCTCAGCCTCAAAGTGTTAAAGGAGAGGTCTAGTCCTTGTTTATCCTCTCGCAGACCTCTGCAGCGAGGTTTTAACTTGGGTCGAGGGCAAAACCAAGCCTTATGTTTCCTGGCTAGCAGGGATCCAAGCTGCCTCATGGACTAGCACAGTCAAATCCAACCCCAGAATGTGTTTTGCCAAGAAAAATACTCCTGCCTCAGCTATCTTTACAATTATTCCTGCCTGACATCAAAGGATTAGCTTACAATGAGCAATTAACACTGTCATGTTCCCTTTCAGGTAGATCGCTTCCTGGTCTGAAGTGTTGTCATGAAGCTAAAAAACAGGTGACTGCCAGAAAAATCACTTCCTCATGAACAACTGGTGGGAGAGCCGGGGCTGCTCGGGACCTACCCGGGCCCTGGTGCTTCCTTCCTCCCTCCAGCTTTGCCAGTTAAAGTCCAAAAAGGCAGCGGGGTGCCAAGCTCGGCAACTCCCTTGCAGGGCTGCCTGCAAGAAGGAGCAGGGAAGGAGAAGGGTAGGAGCAATCACCTTCCAGCATCTCCCCGGCTCCTTTGGGGTAAGTGAAGAGGGCTTTTCGGGGTGGTGCCAGGTCCGAAACGCTGAACCCTGATCCTGTTACAGAGCTGCCGCTGACTCCACCAGCTGAAGAGGATGAGGAAGAGGCTGCCATTTCACCCCGTCCCAGCCTGAAAGAACAAAAAGGGAGCAAAGCGAGGTTAGGAAGGGCGTCTCGGAGTTTCCCGGGGCACCAAGCCAGCGACCGCACGCGTATCTGACAGCGGATGAAGGCGGCAAGGTCCAGGAAGAGCCAGTGAGCACAGCTTTGGGCTGCTGCCCCCGCACTGGGGCTCCGCAGCCTCCAACAGCTGGTGGTTCACGGATGCCCTGCACCCACTGCCCGTGCCCGCTGCAGGGACAGCTGCAATTAGCTGTCGCGCCACGTGGTGGCACCCAGAAACTGAAGGTAACCCACGCCCTGACCCCCGAAAAAGGGGAAATGGGAATTCAGCGGGATGAGTGGAGCGTGCGTAAAAATAACCTGGCACAGGTCGCTGGCCTGAATTCACTGGCCTTCAGCTGCCTGGCGCTCTTCCTGCTCCCCAGGGTCATAAAAAGACTGTTGGGTGGGATTTTTTTCCTCCTTTTTTTGCCTTGTTTCCAGGAGCACAAACACAGAAAAAAGTCCTGCTGCCTCATAAGACCTGGAAGCCCGCAGGACTGCCAGTTCCAGCGCCGCATCCTGCACGAAGCCACGCCACGCCGAACGCGCAGCAGCTGCTCTCTGCGTCGCTCCAGGCGCGCTTTTGCTTTTAAAACGCTGCTTTTGACCTAAAGCAGCGAGGGCTGAGCATCCGCCTGCCTGAGCAGCACGCCGCCGCTCGCCTCCTTTCCTCAGCCTTGTTTTTTAAGAGGTATCGGCTGTGCATTTGTCATGATGGAGCCCTTGAAACCTGTCCGATAGTAAAAAAGCTGTCACTTCCTTTGCTACTCCTCCAAACCACTCCTAAGCATTTCCCAATTATCCTTTATTATCAAATACTTTCCCAATTATTTGAGCAACCTGGTGTAGCGGAAGGTGTCCCTGCCCATGGCAGGGGGGTTGGAACTAGATGATCTTTGAGGTCCCTTCCAACCCAAACCATTCTGTGATGATTCTGTGATGATTCCGTGATCCTGCCCATTTAGGACATTTGTTTTATCCTATTTGCTACGTTCCGCAGACTCTTTAGGCGCCTTCGGAAAGCACTCATGGCTTTCTGAAAGGCTGTCACAACCGGGAATTGCGTGTTCGCTCACAGATAAGCTCCAGGCTGTTTCATTCACTGCGTGTGACACAACACAGCGCAGCAGCTCCAGCAGGCTGGGGGCTTACGGGCTGCAAAGGAGAACGCCTGGATAAACGAAACCTTGAAAACGGCTACGATACATCCAGCAACGCCTTCCTCAGGGAACCGGGGCAAGCCCGGCTCCCTGAGGGAGCTGGAACAACCGTCCGCGCTGAAAGGAGGCTGAGGGGAACGCAAAGGAGGGGGACAGCAGCCCAGGACGCC